CACACATCCCATGATTCCAATATGTTCCCGTGTGCTCTGGGCTGTTTCGTCTTCCCCGCCCACTTCCCATCTTTTCCCATACTTTCCTGGGGGTCGACGATTGCTTGTGTCTGTGTGTGCGTGTGCGTGTGCGTGTGCGTGTGTGCGTGTGTGTGTGTTTGTGTGTGTGTGTGTTTTGTGTGTGTGTGTGTGTTTGTGTGCGTGCGTGCGTGCGTGCGTGCGTGCGTGCGTGCGTGCGTGCGTGTGTGCGGGCGGGCGGGCGGGCGGGCGGGCGGCGCGCGCGCGCGCGGGGGCGGGCGGGGGCGGGGCGGGCGGGCGGGCGGGCGGCGGGGGGCGGGCGGGCGGCGGGCGGGCGGGCGGGCGGGCGTGCGTGCGTGCGTGCGTGCGCGCGCGCGCGCGCGTGCGTGCGTGTGTGTGTGTGTGTGTGTGCGTGTGCGTGTGCGTGTGCGTGTGCGTGTGCGTGTGCGTGAATGTGTGTGTGTGTGCGTGAATGTGTGTGCGTGCGTGTGAATGTGAATGTGTGTGTGTGTGTGTGTTTGTTTCCCCTCCTGATTTTCGTCCGTCGCTCGCTCGTGCGGCCTGGAGGGTCGGACGCGCCTCGCTCCCGCTCGGGGCGAGGCGCCCCCGGGGCGTCCGCGCAGCCCGCGGGCCTGCCCTCTCGCAGGCAGGCGGCCGCACCGCGGAGGCCACGCTCCCCGCGCGCCCGCGGCGCGCGCGCGCGCTGCGGGGGGCCCTTTTGCGGGGGCAGCCGCCCGGAGGCCAAGCGAGCTTGGCACCCTCCGCGCCGCGCCGCGGAGGATGCTTAGGAGGCAACTCCTGGGAGGTGTTCGCAAGGCCGACACTCGTGATTTGGACGACCAGAACGGGTGCGGACAAAATTGGCGCACGGCCCAACGACAGCTGCTGTCCCGAACCAGCAGCGGCCGCTGTTGGGCAGGCGGCCTTCTGTTTCAAATGGACACAGGCAGCGGCGGGGCGAACAGCGAGTCCTGCTCAGAATGAACAAGAACTGCTGTTGGGCATTGTGCCCAGCATTTCCGTACACATTTCGCTCGTGCCAGGATGACCTGATGACAGGTGACTAAACCCGATTAACCAAGTGTCCATGGAGCCAGGCTGCGTAGGCGGGTGTTGAGCCTGACTGCGCGGGATCGAACGGAATTGAGCGGGGTGATGGCATGAGACCCTCCGCCGGCCAAAACACCCCAAATCATGAAATCACGCGAGGGTATGAATCGTCCAAGATGCACATGAGGGGCAACGGTAGGGGGGGAACAAATACCATGAATATAAACCTCTGGCGCTTCGCCCGGATTTCTTGGATCTGCGCTGGACCCCCTCCCTGGCGCGCGGAGCGCGACGGGGGCGCCGCTGGCGGCGCCGCCGGGGGGCCCAGTGCGGATCTCAGAAGTCCGCGCGGAGCGTCAACAGATTATGTTTATGGCGCTTTTCCTTCTTCGACACACGAAACCCAACCCTGAAACCCCAGGACGTCCATTGATCTTCGGTGTGGGAGTGTTACGCATTCCACGTTTATTTATGTGGGAGCGTGCGCCAACAGTTTAGGTTCATGGCGTCTTTTCTTCTTCGAGTTGGACACTCCCAGGTGATGCATCCTGATTAGTGGTTCGTCGAGCTCGGCCCTGTCCACGCCGCGCCGCGCAAGGGAGAGCTGCTGGGGCCGCCGACCCGATGCGCCACCGCGCCGCAGGCACCGAGGTGTTCGGTCGGGCACGTCCCCCAACAGGCGGTTTTTGAGCGAACAATTAAATTTAGCTAACGATACCCCATTTCTCTCTCTCTCTCTCTCTCTTATATATATACACACATATACAACGTCCTCAGACTATATTTCGACTATTCTCGAACATTCCTCCTGTGGAAGGACATGCTCGACTTAAACCGAGTGGAGGCCCTCGGGACTCTTGGGAGGTCCCAAGAGTCCTCGGCCCAAGCGGGAGGCACTATGAGGCCTCTACGAGGCCTCCCCGGGGGGACCGCCGACGTGGCGCTCTTGCTTCCGAACGGTGGCCCCCAGAGATCTGTGCACCACTTCCCCAGGACGGGCTTGTCCTCCTGAGCTGTTTTTGACACCACAAGGTCCCAGCCAGGCCGAAACTTGCTACAGAAGACCAGTCGTAATAGTTCTTCGCGGCGAGAGGTGAGGCTTTTCCTCCTGAGCAATGTTTGACAATACAGGGGCCCAGCTGGGCCGAAAATGGCCAAACGCCCGCCGTCGTAATATTTCTTCGCAACGAGAGGAGGTTGGGGTCTTGCACGGTGGCGGTGGAGGGGGAGGAGGGGGAGGAGGAGGAGGAGACCAAAGGCTGCAAGCTCCGCCGCCCCCTGTTGACTTGCGTGCTAGATCCTATTGGTTTCGTTTGGATCGTTTTTCAAATAACTCCTCCTGGGGCCCCGGCCCAGCGCGCAGCGACGGCCACGCGGAAGAGGTGGTTGCCAAAATGTTTCAGGTCCAGATGGCTCCACTATGGACCAAGACCGCCTCCAAGACTGCCAAGATGGCCTCCAAGCAAGATGGCCTCGAAGACGGCCCAAGAGAGTCCAAGATGCCTCGAGGTTCGCCCAGGAAGCCTCCAAGACGGCCCAAGACGGCCCCAGAGGCCTCCAGCAGGCCTCCACGACGGGCCAAGAGGCCACCAAGACGGCCCACGGAGACCTCCCAGAGGCTTCTGGGAAGGCCCGAAGAGGCCCAAATTATTAATTTCCAGCTGTTTTTGAAGATTTTCGCATTTGCTTCTTGTCGACCTTCCGACGGGCCCGAGACGGCCCGAGGGCCCCAAAAGATCGTCTCAAGATCGCCCAAGAGGCCTCCAAGATGGCCCCAGAACGGCCAAAGAGGCCCCAAGACCGCCCGCAGCCCCCAAGACACCCTAGACCGTCTCCAAGACGGCCCTGATGCACCCCAAGAGGGCCCCAAGCCGGCCCAGAGGGGCCCCCAAGACGGCTTCCGACGGCGTCAGACGGGCCAGGACGCCATCAAAACTGCCAACATGGCTCGAAGATGGCCCAAGACGGCCCAAGAGGCCACCAAGAGGCCTCCAAGTCAGCCCAAGAGGCCGCCATGAGGGCCACCAGGGATGCCCGAAGAGGCCAAAAGCATTGATTACCCATGGGTTCGTGAAGGAGTTTGGCATTTGCTTCTTTTCGGCCTGCCGACGGCCCGAGACGGCCCAAGGGCCCCAAAAGATCGCCCAAGATCGCCCAAGAGGCCTCCAAGATGGCCCCAGACGGCCGAAGAGGCCCCCAAGACGGCCCCCAAGAGGACCCCAAGGCGGCTCAAGAGGCCCCCAAGACGCCCTAGATGACCTCTAAGACGGCCCTGGAGCATCCCAAGGGGGCGGCAAGCCGGCCCAGAGGGGCCCCCAAGACGGCTTCCGACGGCGCCAGACGGAACAGGATTGCCCGAAGACAGCCAAAGAGGCCCCTCAAGGGCCCCACCCAAGAGGCCCCAGGCCCCCAAGATACCTCCGAGAGGCTCCTGGGGAGCTCCGAGGAGGCCCCAAGAGTGCCCCCAGAGGCTCCCAAGATGCTCCCTCCTCCTCCTCCTCCTCCTCCTCCTCCACCTCCTCTTGATCTTCCCCGCCGTCCTCCCCCAAGTGTTCCCCGAAGGGTTTCTACGACGGCTGGGGGCACACATGGTCCGATAGCTTGGCAGAGCTCTTGCCACAACGCTCGGCCACATGGCTGCATCCTGAAAGGCAGGGGGCGGCGGTGATTCACCGTGGCGTCTTCGATCCACCACCCCTGCAGTCTTGCCACAGGGGTGCCCGGCGTGCTAGACTTCAGGTGGTTTTTGATTCGTTGGCCGATGCCGACCCAGAAACCCGCCAGAAATGCCGGGGTCGTGGGTTTTCGGACCCCAGAGACTGCCGAGATGGCCCAAGATGGCCTCCGAGTTCGCCCAAGATGGTCCATGATGGCCTCCAAGACGTCCCAAGAGGGTCCAAGATGCCTCCAAGTCCGCCCAAGAAACCACCAAGACGGCCCAAGATGGCTCCGAGATGGCACAAGACAGCCCAAGAGGCCCCCCAGAGACCTCCACGAGGCCTCCAAGAGGCATCCAAGAGGCATCCAAAAGGGCATCCAGGAAGGCCCGAGGATGCAACACAGTTATTTTTCCTGTGGCCTGTGAAGGATTTTAGCATGGGCTTCTTGTAGGCGTTCCGACGGCCCGAGACGGCCCAAGAGGACCCCAAAATCGTCCCAAGATCGCCCAAGAGGCCTCCAAGATGGCCCCATGACAACCCAAACGACCTCGAAGGCGGCCCTAAGAGCACCCGAAGACGGCCCCATAGGCCTCCAGGAAGCCCAAGGTGGCCTCCGAGATGGCCCTGGAGCACCCCAAGAGGACCCCGAGTCGGCCCAGAGAGGCCCCCAAGACGCTTCCTGACGGCGTCTTAGGGGTCAGGAATGCACTAAGACTGCCAAAGAGGCTTTAAAGAAGCCCCCGAAGGCCCCCAAGAGGCCTAAGGAGGCCTCCAGGAGGACTCCAAGAGACTCCCAGGAAGCTCCCGGGAGGCCCCCAGTGCGCCCCAAGTGGCTCCCGAGAGGTCTCCTCCTCAACATCCTTCTCCTCCTCCTCCTCCTCCTCCTCCTCCTCCTCCTCCTCCTCCTCCTCCTCCTCCCTTTTTCTCCCTCCCCTCATCCTCCTCTCCCTTCCCCCACGTGTTCCCCGAAGGGTCTCCACAACGGCAAGGGGATTGGCCAGACTTTGCCCAGACGTGTGGCCACATAGCCGTAGTTATCCTAAAATTAGGTCGGGCGTGTCCTCCTACAAGCGGATTCGGAAGAATAGCCAGACATTAGCAAAACAATCAAAAGCAGTCAACAAAATACGAATCTGTGATTTGAATATGCCTCCTGTAGAGGGACATGCCCGCCTTACTCCTAGAAGGCAGAGGGCCAGGGTGATTCGCCGTACGCAGGCGTCATTCGGCAGCAGCGTGCTGGATGCGTGGGCACCGGGCGCGGCGGGCCGCTCAGAGCTCACCGCCGTGACCCGGGGGGGAGGGAGGGGGTCCAGCGGGGGAGGTGGACGAGAGAGGCGCCTCCTGCGGGGCCTGCTCCGGGAGGCTCCTCCTCACGTTCGTGGTCTTCTTGTAGACGTAGTCCCCCGTGGGGTCGTCCTCCCAGTCGAAGTCCGTCGCGCCTCTGGGCGGCCACAGCAAGAATCTGTAGTACACGTTGTTGGTGCTACCCTGGTTGGGCGTCACCTTGTGAGGCGCCCATGCGGGGAAGAGCACCAACTCGCCCTGCTGTGGGGTGTGCGCGTACCGGTAGCCAAAAGGAGGGCTGTCGCCCCGCACATCATCAAAAATCAATTCGCTGGAATTCTCAGCGTGCCTGGCAAAAAAGACACCATGTACAGAAGCACCAGTGCGCACGTGCGGCCACTGGAAGTCACCAGGCCGAAACACCTCCACCCACGGCATCGTCCTGAACCTCGTTGGAGCCCTGTCGCCCTGAATGTTGGTTAAAAACTGGCTGGCCATGGCCTCCACCCTCTTCACGAGAACCTGGAGCTCCGACGAGTCGTGCAGCTCGCTCCACTGGTAGCTGATACTAGGGGAACGAAGAATGACAGAAACATAAAAACTCGGAGGTCCGCGCGGATTTCTCGGATCCGCGCTGGACCCCCCCTGGCGCCGCCCCTGGCGCGCTCCGCGCGCCAGGGAGGGGGGTCGAATGCCGATGCGAGAAATCCGCGCGGACCCCCCGAGCTTGCATGCTTCTGTCATTGTTCGTTCCCCTGGATGCCCCTGTGCCGAGGCACCGGCCGGCCGTCCCAATTCAGCTCCTCCACGGGGAGCCGCCGCTTATCCGCGAAGACGCGCTTCTGCCAGCGCAGGAAGGCGAGGTTGACGCGTCGACGGGCCGGGGAGCCCCGCACACACGGAGCGGCCGAGACCACCGGGGAGGCCCGAGAGGCCCCCACGGGGCTCCCGAGCGGCCCCCGAGAGCCTCCCAAGAGGCCCCCAACCCACCCCCAAGATGCCCCCGAGAGCACTCGTCGTCGTCGTCGTCGTCGTCGTCGTCGCCATTCAGGGTCGGCGGCACCGGCCGCAGGGTCGGCGGCACGGGCCGAAAGTGAGGCCTTCGCTGAAAGGAAGAGTCAGCACGTACTCAAAACATTGCCCCCCAGAAACGGTCGAAGCATCGCCCCCGTGCTGGAATACTCCTCTCGGCGGTGGACAAACCTCCCTTTAGTATACCTCCCCTTAGTGAAAACGACCTGGGACCGAAACTGACGGGCCTGGAACCGCAAAAATGACGGCTGCGACGCCCTCCCGCGAACCGAAAACGGCCAATTCCTGAATCGACGTGTCAGGGTAGGAGGTCTATCCACCTCCGAACCCGAGTTAACCCTGACCCGAGTTACCCCTGATGATTCGGGGCTCTGGACGCCCGAATTATCCGGGGTAACTCGGGTCCGGGGTAACTCGGGTTCGGAATCCCGAAAAACGAACCCGAGTCAGCCCTGACCCGAGCTACCCCGGATGATCCTGGGCTCTGAACAAGAGTGACCTCCGGCGCGCGGCTTGCCGAGCGCTGCGCGCGGTGCGCTAGCAGCGGCCTGCGTGCTCGGGCTGGGCCCCCCGCGCCACTGGGCAGCTGCGCACACCAGGTTAAAGGGGCCCTGGGACACACAAGTAAATACACATGGATAAAAAGATTCCCCATATGTCCCCATATGTTCTGGGTTTTTGTCTTCCCCCCAACTTCCCATATTTTCCAATATTTTCTGGGGAATCGCCGAGTAATTGTGTCTGTGTGTTTCTTTCCCTCCTGACAGGTCGCTCCGGCGAAAGGTGACCCTCGCGCTGTGGCAGTGGAGGCCAATCCGCAAGAAGCCTTCCACGAAAAACCGAACCCCGAGACCCCAGGACGTCCATTGATTTTTGGTGCGGGAGCGCCGCGCTTTCCAAAAAAAAAAAAAAAAAAAACATCGAAACCCAAGAGGCCCAGGGCCCCCTGGAGGCAAACAGCGTGTTTCTTGGCATGGGCCTCCACTGTACTCGAGCTCCAGCGAGAAGGAACGCTGACAAAAATGCACCGGCGAAAGACCCAAGCACACGCCGTCGTGAGTGCGCAATCGTGAATACCGCCTGCCTTGGAGCTGCACGTGGGGCCACGGGACGCGTGCGAGCTGTGCCGACGCAGGCCTGGGGGGCGCATGCGGGCTCTGCCACTGAGGCCTTCCGTGGATCTCGCCGTGGGACCGCGGGACGTGTGACCGGTGTGCCGGAATGGGCCTGGGGACGCATGTGAGCTGTGCCACTGTGGCCTTCGGTGGGGCTCTCTATGGGGCCACGGCACGTAGGAGGGTGTGCTGAAATGTGTGGGGAACCGCATGCGGAAGCCTCCACTTGGGGGCTTCGGTGAAGCTCCTGGTGAGGCCACGAAACGTGTGAGGGGTGTGCTGAAATGCGTGGGCGCTCCCTATGGGGCCACAAAGCGTGTATGGGGTTTGCCAAAATAGAATTGGACACCGCATGCGGAAACCCCTTCCTGGGGGCTTCGGTGGGGTTCCCTATGGGGCCACGAAGCGTGTGAGGGTGGGCTGAAATTCGTAAGAACCGCACCGCATGCGACCCCCCCGCATTCCCTGTGAGGCCACGGAACGTTTGAGGGGTGCGTTGACATGCGTGGGCGCTACCTATGGGGCCACGAAGCGATGAAGGGGTATGCCAAAACATGCGAGAACCGCATGCGAAAGCCTCTTCCTGGGGGGGTTGGTGGACCTCCTTGAAAGTGTCAGGGTGTACTGAAATTTATAAGGACCGCACTGTATGCGGCCTGGAGGCTCCGGTGGAGCTCCCAAGAGGGGAAACGTGTGAGGGGTGTACCGAGGTAAGAACCGCATGCGAACCCCCTTCGAGGTATCGGTAAAGCTCCTTGTGGGGACACGAAACGTGTCAGAAGTGTCCCGAAATGTGCAAGAACGGCATGCGGCCCTCCCCCTCCTGGGGACTCCAATGGCGCTCTCTGTGATGCCACGGAACGTATGAGGGGTGTGCCGACATGAACAAGAGCCGCATGCGACCCCCCCTCCTGCGGGCTCCAGTGGAGCGCTCTGTGGGGCCACGAAGCGTGTAAGAAGCGCCAAATGGATAAGGGCCGCATGCGAAACTGTCTCGTGGTGGCTTCGCTGGTGCTCCCTGTGGGGCTACGAAGCGTGTCAAGGGTCTGCCAAAATGGATCAGACCCGCATGCGAACACCCCCGCATGGGGGTTTCGATGGAGCTTCTTGTGGAGCTACGAAACGTATGAGAGGTGTGCCGATATTGATACGAATCACATGCGACCCCCCCCCTTCCTGGGGGCTTCGGTGGAACTCCCTGTGGAGCCATGGAACATACGATACGCGTCCCGGAATTTGTAAGAACCGCATGCACAAACCCCTCCTGGGGTCTTCGGTTGAACTCTCCCTGGGGCAACGAAACGTGTGAGGGGTGTACCGAAATGGGTAAGAGCCGCACGCGAACCCACCTCGAGGTATCGGTAAAGCTCCTTGTGGGGACACGAAGCGTGTGAGAGGGGTCCCGAAATGTGCAAGAAAGGCATGCGACCCCCCCTCCTGGGGACTCCAATGGCGCTCTCTGTGATGCCACGGAACGTATGAGGGGTGTGCCGACATGAACAAGAGCCGCATGCGACCCTCCCTCCAGTGGGCTCCAATGGAGCCCTTTGTGCGGCCACGAAGCGTGTAAGACGAGCCAAAATGGATAAGAGCCGCATGAGAAACTTCGGTGGAGCTCCTGGTGAGGCTACGAAGCATGTCAAGGGTCTGTCAAAATGGATAAGAACCGCATGCGAATACCCCCACATGGAGGCTTCGATGGAACTTCATGTGGAGCTATGAAACGTGTGAGAGGTGTCCCGCAATTGATACGAACCGCATGCGCCCCCCCCTTCCTGGGGGCTTCGGTGGAGCTTCCTGCGGGGCCACGAAACATACGATCAGTGTCCCGAAATTCGTAAAAAACCGTATCCAAAGACCCCCTCCTGGGGTCTTCGATTGAACTCTCTCTCTAGGGCCACGAAACGTGTGAGGGGTGTGCTGAAATAGGTACGAGCCGAATGCGAAACCCCCCTCCTTGGGATCCAGGTGGAGCTCCCTGCCGAGCCACGAAACTTGTGAGAGGGACGTGCCGAAATAGGTAATGCCGAGGGCTGAAGCGAGGATGCGAGGAGGGCGGGCGCAAGAGGCAGGAGAGGAGAGGGGAGAAAACGCGGGGCGCTGTCTCCGCATAACGAGAACCACAAGGATGGCTGGGGGAAAAACTCAGGAACCCCCCTCTCTCGCCCCGAGCGCGCCAAAGGAACACCGGAGCCCCTTCCGAACCCGAGCTCTGTTCCTGCATGTCGGCGCCTTGGGTGCTGCCGAACAGGGGCAGAAATTGTGGACGCCCTTTCAGACCTGGTTCCTCCTCCGTCTCCTCCTCCTCCTCCTCCTCCCTCGACGCTTGCTCCTGTCTGCGTTCTCCTCCTCCTCCTCCTCCTCCTCTTCCTCTCCATCTTCCTCACGACTCCTCCTCGTCGTCGTACCACCGAGCGTGTCGGTATATCTCCTCCTCATCCGCCTCCTCCTCCTCTTGCTCCTCCTGTCCGCACCAGGCGTGTCGGTAAGGGCAGGTTGGGCGTTTCGCCCAAGACAACCCCCAACTTACGATATTAAAGGTTGGCGGACCCAACAGTTATGCGACTGGGATGATGGGTCGGACACCATCTTAGGTTGGCGATGCTTCCTGGAATAACCAACAAGGTTGGTTGCGTATGGAACAACGATGACACATAATTAATGATGTTGAATCGCTCGGCCAGGGGAAAAAATAATCATGAATATCCCAGAATGGTCCATTAGGGCTCGCGATTGTCAAATTTAGTGGATCGGGTTTTATAGTGGGATGCTCTCCGGCTGGAGGGGAGAAGATAGCCATTATTATTCAGGAGCGATCAACTGGCGTTCGGTATGATTGAATACTGTATCGGGCTTGATGATTGTATCTGGGCTCGCCTGAAGGACAAAAATAATAGTAATTATTCCAAAATGGTCAACCAATTTTCGTCATGTTTGGAAGACGAACTCAATTTGTCCCCCCCAAAAAATACCGGACAAAGTTCCGTTATGTCCTAGGAGTAATGGGCGGAGGTTCGCTACTTCCTGGGCGTAGGAGTTCCGTCCTCCCTCGGAGTCATGGACAAGAATCCACTACTACATTCGGAATTATGGACGGAGACTCGTTATTCCGTGAGAAAGTGAGCAAAGGAAATGACCAACCAGGGTCCGCTATCTCACGGGAATAATGAACAAGAATTATTTACTTCCCGGGATTAACGGACAGGCGTCCGTCATTTCCAATCCACCGCTGTTCCCAAACCATAATGGACAGGGGGTTGTACTTTTGGAAAAAATGCATGGGCCCACTACCATGTGGGAGCAATGGACAAGGGCGCGTCATCTCCAAAGAAAACGGACAGGTTCCCGTTGTTCCTGTGAATTACGAGCATCGGTTCTCAATTCCCCGGGAATATGGACAAGGGTAACCGTTTAC